AGGATAATTGTAAGGTGTTTCAATCAACGTTTATCTCATTTTTCTTGTTTGTGTTGTATTCAGTAGTTCTTTTTGCATATGAATGTGTGAGCTTATGTGAATGAATGCATGTATGATTTAATTTGGTATATAAACATATCATCTTATTTTGAAATAAATAACTTTCCTAATTGATGAGAAAGCAGAAGATAATTCCAAAGTATGTTAACCAAACCCTTGAAATGTTAGTGTTGATAGCCACATGAATATAAGTAAGGACGTTATGTTGGCTTACACTTTTGGAATGCAACATCCTCCGCAGCTGTAATGTCATTGAAAGAGTTTTGTTTCCCAGTGCACACATGCCACTGCTGTTGTGAGTGGGTAGAGCTACACTTCGATTGCAGACAGGGTGTACTTTTTGATTCTTATGAGTACGTAAATGATAGCAGAATAATGAGGTATTTGTCATTTTCCTGGAGTGGGATTGGTTGTGCTTCTCACCTTGGCAAATCTTTTGATATTTTTTGCACCAATTTCACTCTCCTTTTTCATTGGATTATATGAAGACAATTTCTTATAGTCTAGTAAAAGTTTCTGAATTAAAGTTATTGCGTGAAATAGTCAAAGACAATTATTTTCATTTGAACGCTGGTTTAAAAGTTGGGGATTGTAAAGAAAGTATCTGAGAACAAACTTGATATATTTTATTTTGATAGAAATATGTTTGCATCATTGAGAGTAACCTGCATCGTATGCATAGTTTTTTTTTTTCAGAGACTTTTTATTTATTTATTTATTTTTTTTTTTGTAATGCATTAATGAATTCAGCATGGGGCATTCTGTAGCAAGAATGCACTTTGTTATCCCTTTGGTGATGCTGGGTATATATATAATATATATATATATATATATATTATATTATATATATATATATATATGTATGTGTGTGTGTGTGTGTGTGTGTGTGTGTGTGTGTGTGTGTGTGTGTGTGTGTGTGTGTGTGTATATCTGTATGTGTGTGTGTGTATATAATATATGTATATATTATATATATATATATATATATAATATATATATATATATATATATTTATATATGTATGTATATGTATGTATGTATATGTATATATATATGTATATATATATATATATATATTAATATATGTATATACATGATATACATGTATATATATGTATATACATGTATAAATATGTATGTATAGACCCAGTGCTGACAGGTGATTTGTGTGCTTTACTGAACTGGATGTTGTATATTGCACGCAGACATTTGCTTGAGGGAGAAATTAGAAGCTTTGATATAGATAATTTCTCTGTTCCATGATTTTTCTCCATTCTAGTGAGGCCAGTAAGTGATTTTAAGGAGGGCGTCAGGGTGATATGATTTTTTGTATGGTATTAACCTCTATGCCGTGTATATTATCTCAATTTGAAGCAATTTGATGAAAAAAAAAATTTTGACCATTTTTTGTTCAATTTGAAATAGAATGGAAAAATATTGTCCGATTTCAGCGATAGCGGATTTCCATGATGTATATACAATGGCCTTTGCATTCTATATTCATGTCTCTTGAAATGGGATTTATGTATTTTTTTATGTATGTAATTTTTCATGTGTCTTTTTTGCTCTCATTTCCATACATTCCTTCAATGTTGAACATTATTATTATTATTTATTTTTTTATTTTTTTTTTTTTTTCCTATTTTAAACTTAGAAACTGTAGCAACAGACTGTCCACCCTTTCCAGTGAGACTTCTTTCAAGGAATTTGGTTGAATGATAACAGAGTAATTTCATTTTATAGTGGTGAAAATAAGTTTTTGATAAATGATATCTCAAAAAAATATGTTCTTTTACTTACACGTAAAGTCATTGGAACACTCCAATTATTCTGAATATACATTATCATATAAGCCAAATACTTATGCATATTTTCTATTGCATTCTGAGTTCTGATTAGCACTTGGTCTACTATTTGCTCGACGGTAAAGGTATCAGAGACTTTTTAAGTCTTTCAAATAGGTTTGTGAGTAAATTGCTCATTTTGAACCCAGCACTGTGTTCCAAGATGGTCTGTAGGGTAGGGAAATTCATGCAAAATTCCTTGTGAGATGTGAAAGGAAGTGGCAAGGAATGGTATGAAGATGCAGGTGACTGCACTGTTGCAATATGCTGCTCTGAGCAACTGGTGGGCCCTCCCTTCTCTCTCGCTTTTTTGGGAGGTCCTGATGGCGGTAGCTGTTCTGACATTTTCAGTCTGGTTAGATATAGCTCTTTATGTCCAGCCATGTTGAAAAACTGCATAAAAAACCTTGTTGGGATAAACTAATGCTGAAAAACAAAGGAACATTGTTTCACTTCTGAATCTTGTGTGGCACTGAGCATACAGTGCTCTATTGGCAAATATATCTGTCATCCTCGTCCCCTGCCAGATGTAGGAGAATATGATATAAAACACATATTTAGTTTATTTTTTATAATGATGCTCTCTTGTTGATTATTGTGTGTTTATGCTAGGTGCATGAGGATGAGAGGTGGGGGCGTGGGAGTTCATAGGCCTGTTATATCTATGTTATTATTCATGATTGAAAAATTACATGGACTGAACCCAACAGCATTTTTCAGGATTTTATGCAGCACATAATTTTTTTTTCTAATAATTCAACCTGACACCCCCCATAAACTTACTTTAGAGGGACTGTAATTCCTCAATCACTGCAGTAATGGCCAAACAAGCAAACAGTTGTTTAGCACACAACTTGGAGGGGACTCAGCGTGTGTGACATAGGAGTACAAGCCACCCATAGGCAAGGGGTAAATGCACTTTTGTATATATATATGAATATATATAGTTATGCATAAGGAATATGAAAGGGCCTTATAAGATTTTAAAGGCTTTTTTATTAGCATGGATGAAAGAAAAGAACAGAGAGGCTTCAGTATTTCTGGATATATAACTCATTTTCCTCATAGTACTTTATAGATTTTTTGTTTGTTTGGCATGTCGTGGAATAGAAAAACGCATAGCTTTTAATTTTTATTTATTTACATGCTTTTATGCATAGTATTAAACATTTTGAAATACATGTGGAAAATACTTTTTACCGCAGTGGATAGTCTCTGAGTTATGTTCAATTATTAATATTAATAATGAAAATATTTTTTCATATATAGCCAGCATTTCTCTTATCCACTTGATTTCTAATTTTCCTTTTTTTTTTTTTTTTCATTCAAGTTATGCTTTTGTTTATATGTGTGTGTGTGGTTTGAGTCCCAATCGGAGAGGTTATTTATTCATATGTATAATTATATATATATATTATATATATATATATATATATATATATATATATATATATATATGTACGTATGTATGTATGTATGTATATAAATGTATGAATATGTATATGTATATGAATAAGTTGAAGATTGGTCTTGGAATAAGAGAAAATAGCTTTGATTCATATATCTTACCTAAATAAGAAAGAGAATATTGATATGGGAATAGGTCTTTAACCACTGGAATACCAAAATAAATCAAAAAAATAAAAAAAAAAAAAAAAAATCTGTTGAGTATATTTGCACAGATGCGACAAAGTAAACATTGGAGCCCGAGGCAGGAAGGTCAAAGATTTAGTCATAACTTCATTATTTTTACGTATTTAGTAGAAATATTACGTCACAGGAGTGTCAAAGCTTATTATATTACAGGAGATTTTTTTCAGATTTTGAAGTATTTAAAAAAATATTTGTTGAAAATTCAGCACAACGGACCCCTTAAAATGGCTTAAGATGGCATTTTCAATTCAGTGTGCAGTGCTATTTTCTTTCCAGCATTTCTGATGTAATATGTGAAATAGGAATTGGAAATCATGTTTGTCAGTTGATAAAACTTTAAGCTATTGTTCTTTCTAGTCTGTCAAGCGTGTTGGTTATAGAGGGTCATAAATATCGCATAAGAGATAGCTGTAGATTTTGAAATTTTGATTTTGCTTTCCTGAAAATTTCAGTGTGTGTTTAATTGTGTAAATGCTTTTATGGCTGGAAATGATTAATCCAAGATTAACCTCAGTTGTTCAGTTATTCAAAGAGCCTTAGGATTTCCAGATAGAGGACTTTGCTGCTTTCATGCTTGACACGTTGGGAATGTCATTGGTTGAAGATTTTTGTCTTTATTTATTGTAAAGATCTATTTTTGTTTGTATAAGATTTATTCATTTTGCTTTATTTTGTATTTTAAGTTTATGGGTTGAAGCTTTATGAATGGCTTTAGATATTGCTTGAGCACTATTATTATTTTTGAAAAGGAATCTTTAAATTTTCTCAGCCATTTATATTTACATCTCTCGTGCCCTTATTATTGATTGAAGTCTAGTGTTTAGCTTTAATCACTGACTTGGCTTTTTACACCCATGGCTACCCAATACAAGTCTCTTAGGACAGAAAAAAGAAAAAGAAAGAATGATACTTTTTTTTTCTTCTTCTTCATTTCATTTGGTATAATGTGACTTTAGGTATCAGAGAAATATTGATTTTCAGATTCTTCATTTTGTCACAGCAAGTGCTGTTGGTTCTTTTGTTTACTGGTAAACAAATAGTCTATTATTTATTTATTTATTTATTTATTTTTATTTTATTTATTTATTTATTTATTTTTTACTAAATTAGCTTGAATGAAGAGAGGGAAAGGTGTCATAGGGATTTTGACACATGATTTTGTTAGTAACTTTGTACATGGTGTTGAGTACCTGAATCTGTCTGGCTTTTTTATATAAATATATATATAATGTATATTTTTTTCTATATTTTCCTGTTGCACTTCTGTTTTATATTTTTCAGGCAGTGGTTGACACCGCAAATGGACCTGTCATTTGATTTAATAACTTTGTTAGCTTTTCAGATGGGAAGTTTTTTGCATTTTTTAATCATTAAGGGAAAAGTTTTCCTCCATGAGCCTGCAGCTTTGATCCCTGGCATAACATACTCTTTCGTTTTGCACAGAGCACCGCAACATGCCGGTTGATGATGCTTTGCGTTTAATTGAACAAAATTTTGGAGAATATGTCAAGAAAGCCCGTCAACGGAATATTCGTGAAGTTGTGCCCCGAGATATTCGCATTTTGATCTGTGATTTACTCGACTCGCGTCCGCTCTCCATGGGCGACCTGGACAAGTTAATCAAGTACCTGAAGGAACGGCAAAGCATACTGGTTGATGACCAGATTGAACAGAAACGAGAGACTGCTGCAGGTGAGATGATAACAGGTTACCGTTTTATGATACATATATAATTTTTTTCTTTTTTTTCCTTTTTTCATCTACATGATTGTGTTTTACCATGCGACTGCGTTCTTTCAAAGATGGTTCCATTTCCCTTCCTCCATATGCGGTGGCTTGAACCTTCTGATGACAGACGGTGCACAGTTTCATCCTCTTACAATGCAGACATCTACTCTTTTTCTTTTTCCGTGTTTCAAATTTTTTATTTACCTACCGGGTGGTAAACGAGGCCCGAACTACCGTTGAGAATTGGTGTTTACCAACCCTTTTAGCATCTCTTTGGAGCCGCGTTTGCCTATTTTAAGTGTGCAAGGCCTCTTCCCTCCGAGTCGCGAAGCTCAGGATTTATTTATGTTTTTATATATATATATTATATATATATATATATATATATATATATATATATATATATATATATATATAATATATATATATATATATATATACCTCAAGCCCTGTGCTCTGAACCCATCCTTGAGATCTGATTGCAAAACAAGCAACCTCCCAAACCCTACAGAAATAGCCATGCCTTTTAATGTGTGTTTGATTATACATATATAAAAAAGAAATGAAAATTGAATAGAAAAGGAGAAGGATTGAAAATACTTTTTATCTCATAGCATTTCTTGAAAGGAATTATTTGTTTTATTTGGAGGTTTCTTTTTTTTTCTCATGTACTTAGTTTGTGTCTATTCCTAGTAAGGTTTAGTGTTGACTTGCAGATTCATAGATGGATACATACATACATACATACATACATACATACATACATACATACATACATACATACATACATACATACATACATACATAAATAGATAGATATATACATACATATTTATAGATGAATATGTGTAGATATATATATTAATATCATATAATACATACATATACATATATACATACATATATACATACATACATACATACATACATACATACTTACATACGTACTAATGTACATACTTATGTACATAAACACGGACGGACATGTGCACACATGCAAACGTGCACATACTCACACACACGCACTCACACTCACACTTACACACACACTCACACACACACTCACACTCACACTCACACACTCACACTCACACACACACTCACGCACACGCGCGCACACACACACACACACACACACAAATGCACACACACACACACACACACACACACACACACACACACACACACACACACACACACACACACACACACACACACACACACACACACACACACACACACACTCACACACAAACACACACACAGATAGAATAATAGACAGATAGACAAATAGAAAATTAGATAGATAGATAGATAAGTAGATAGACATGAATATTTATAGATATAAATATATATAGATATGTAGATATAGATATGTGTTATTCCTTCTTTTTAGGATATTACCTTCTCAAATATAGAGCAAGCAGCTAACTGTACTGTCGATGGCTGTGTCATGGCAGTTTTAAGACGTGAAATGATTTTGGTAAGGTAAAACATTTCCTCTTCAGGATAAAATCTGGTGCTTATTTTCATGTGCAGAAGAATTAAAGTAAAATTCTATATACTAGACTAAAAGAGTTTTCCAGAATGTGAAGATTTAGTGGAATGTCTGAAAGAAAAAGAAAAATATGCTGAAAGAAAGAAGGGAGGAAAGAAAAAAATATATAGTTCTGCTGAACATCCAAGACTGATAGGAATTTTAGTCTCAAATGGTCTACTGTTCTTGCAATAAATAAGTGTAATTTGCAGCTGTAGTAAATTTCATAAGCAGACTCACTTCAACATTTTCTTCCTAATGCTCCCTTCAGAATTTAAAGAAAAGAAAAGAGAAAGCAAATGAAATAGCAAATGTCTATGCTTCCAAAGTCCAGTGTTATAGACCTGTTTGAAGATCTGTCTCGTGATGCAGCAAAAGAACAAGAAAAAATGAGAGAACAAGAAGGAAAAAAGAAAGAAAGACATAAAAGTATGATCTTTCATCATTTTGAATTTTAGAATGATTTTCTATATTGATTTTGCAAGAGGCTGATTCCATTGCACGTTCCGTATTTCCCTTATTCACCTTGTCTTTTTTCACCAAATTTCTCTCTCATTGTTATTATTATTATTATTATTATTTTTTTTTTTTTCATTTACCTCTCTCTTCATTATTTTACTTCTTGCGGCCGAAAGAGGTTGGACGCCATATGGCCCTTGACTATTGCAAATATTATAGCCAGTATCTTTGTGTGCATTTGACTTTGGCTTTGCTAATGCCTTTATTTTTATTTGCAGATTCATACATCAGGCATTTTATGAAACTATCTTTCTAACCATTTTTAATTCTTAGTTTGTTTTAAAAAGAAAAAGGGAAAGAAAAGACTGACACATTCTTTACCATCATTAATCAGTGCTGAGCTACCACCCATTGACCCGTGGTTATTTCTCTCCCACCCCGTTTTTTATTACATCCCACATTCCGAAAGAGATCCTTATCTTGCACTCGCTGTCTTTTTCACTCTTTCTGAAAGAAGGAACTATTCTTGCTGTGCTTAAAGAAAACAAAAGGAAAGAAAGGAAAAAGAGGTCTGCGACAGGCATCAGATTTCCTCATATTTAGTTTTCTTCTTTTTTTCCCCCCTTCTCCTTCTGTAGAGCTGCGTTATTTTAGAATGATTCTCAGATCTGCACACAAACTTTTATGCCAGTTGTGGTAGCTTGATTTTTTTTTTTTTTCCCACAAATGGGCCCCATGTTTTCCCTTTTCAGTGGTTTTCAGAACGGTATCTTTATTTCATTTGATTTTCATTCATTTTCCTAAAACAAAAGGTTCATTTGTATTTCTAACTTGCAGGTAAGTTCGAACATTTATTTCATTGTGTATTGAGCATTTAATTTTTTTTCCCGTTATTAATCAATTGGATTATGGTCCATTTTATTATTTATATTTTGTGACCATTAGCAGTACCTTATTTATGTTATTGTATGTATTGCATTGAATAATTCCATGGCTGTTATCTGTATGTTGTAGTTAATGATTGAAAAAAAATACTGTGTGTTGATGGAGTCACCGATCTTTGAAAAACAGTATAAATGCATGATTATATATGCGAAGTGCTTTTTGCACTTGCCAAATACCTCGCACAGCAGGCATTGCTTGATGTGTTGTAGGTGAGCGGTTTTGAGGTGGTTGGAAATCTACGGTTGTTGCCTGAGGACGAGATTTGCAAATGTATGTGTTATCTTGAGCTGAAGGTGGAATAGAAAAGTAGAGTAGAACCCATGTTATTGTTTTGTTTGTTAGTTATCTTACAAAAGACCTGTAAAAATTTTGTTCTGACAAAGTGTTCTTCTTCTTAGCAGTTCAATTTACACTAAAAAATAGTTGAAAATACCATCAAAAGGCTTCTGTAACTATGAAAGAAATACAAAACTTTGTCAGTTATGAATGCTGAGAATATTTACAACCAAGAATATTTGTTCTGTTGGTCATGTTTTTATCATAGTTTGGATATAGAATTTTGATGGAATGTATGTTAATTCAAGAATCAATAAAAGTATGTCAAATTAGAAGGGTTCTAGCCCAATGCCACTGGGATTATGTGATGTTCACTCTAGTATTGTTTTGTGAAATATATGTACACATAGATGGCTCTACGAGTGCTCAACCACCAAGGAGTCAATTAGCAGTCTGCATGACCTCTCCTGACTTTTCCTTCCTTGAGTGTCTTGAGATCTTTTTTCTAATGCTGTTAACATCAATGTTATTATTATTGACATCTGTATTACAGTATTATTAACAATTCTAATAGCGTTATAAGATAAAATCTTTCTGAAAGTCAAGGAAAAGGGTAGATAAGTGTGTCTCCGTGTTGACTAAGCACTTGTGGAGCCACCTATGAGTAAATACATTTGATAAACTAAACTCACTGTGAGCATGTTTTTTGTACATGCCATCCCTGATAGCATTGGGTTGATATATGATGTACAGGCTATTTTCCTGAAAATAAGGAAGAAGAGGACAGTGACCATAATTCCCTCATTGCTGTATGTTATTGCGTTAATTTGAAACTGATGTGTCTGGTTTCTTATCAATACCTTTTTAACTATTACATTTTATTCATATGTTGTTCCTATAGGTCCCCTCATTGCTGTTCTTGCAGTTTTCTTCTTGCATTTTTCACTCCTTTTTGAAGTGCAGAGGACCACAGTTTTCCTTATAGCATTTAGTTTTGGTAGTACTTAGCATTAGGTTTGTATGATATTAGGCTTGGCAGTATTAGTACCAGTTAGAATATTACTTTTATTTCTCGTTTTGATTGCCTTCACTTTTAGGAATTTTCATTTCTTAGATAAGCTAGTGCTAGGTAATTGTAGAGATTGATAGAGTGCAATATGGATGTGTCAGTATGGTTGATTTTTTTGTAGTAGCTGGAGCATGAGCATGAAATAAATAATAATTTATTTAATTATTTTTATCTTATTTTTTAAAAAGATATAGGATTTTGATAAATCTGGTTTTCTTAAAGATGTTTGTTTCATATTTAGCTAATGTCTATACTGCTTTATTACTGTTTGTCAAGAATGTTAAGTGATATTTATATTTTCTTCTACTACAGTTATTGAATGTATAAGAATGGGTATAAATTAAAGGTGTATTGTTTGAATTAAATGCATAAGAAATGTTTTGTGGCAGTGTTTGTAACTTTATTGTGAAATAAGAGTTTTAATCTCAGTTAGTTTTTACGTGTTTCTTTATTATTTTGATCATTCTTAAATTGTAAGTTTGGGTTATTGGTAAGTGAAGTAGACTGTAAGTGAAGCATGTACTTTATTATTATTTTCATCATCCCTCTTATCAAAGTATTTTTGTCAATAGTTATGAACTAACCCAGGCTAACAGCAGTGTTAATGAGATTGAGTGTTGTGAGATATGGAAAGGAGGTGGGGGAAAGAGATTTGGAATGTGATTCAAAAAGAAGTACATGAGGCAGGAACAAGTTAGAAGGAGGGAAGAAAAGATGAGAATGATAGTGAGAGTGTGAAGGGGAAAAGGAAGGGGAAGGGAGTGAATGAATGAAAGAAAGAATGAGGTAGGGCAAGAACAATTAAGAGGGAGGAAAGGAGGGAGAGAGGGAGGATGAGGATGATGAGGAGTTTGAGGAAGAATGAGAGCAAGCAAGAGTGATAATGAGAAAGAGAAAGAGCACACACACAAGGGCACACACATGGACACATGTACACACATGTTTACACATGTACATGTCAATATACATATATATGCAAGCATACCCAAGTTTACACGTGCATACAGACATGTACATGTCCATGCCCATCCCCATGCTTACACATGCATGCTCACAGGTGCGAGCACATGTACATGTCAATATACACACACACACACACACACACACACACACACACACACACACACACACACACACACACACACACACACACACACACACACACACACACACACACACACACACACACACACACACACACACACACACACACACACACACACACACACACACACACACACACACACACACATCTCACACACACACACACACACACACACACATCTCACACACACACACATCTCACACACACACACACACACACACACATCTCACACACACACACATCTCACACACACACATCTCACACACACACACATCTCACACACACACACACACACACACACACATCTCACACACACACATCTCACACACACACACATCTCACACACACACACACACACACACACACACACACATCTCACACACACACACATCTCACACACACACACACACACACACATCTCACACACACACACACACACCACACTCACACACACACACATCTCACACACACATCTCACACACACACACATCTCACACACACACACATCTCACACACACACACACACACACACACATCTCACACACACACACACACACATCTCACACACACACACACATCTCACACAACACACACACACACCACACACATCTCACACACTCACACACACACCACATCATCACACACACACGCACATCTCACACACTCACACATCTCACACACACGCACATCTCACACACACACATCTCACACATCTCACACACACACACATCTCACACCACACACACATCTCACACACACACACACATCTCACACACACACACACACACACACACACACACACACACACACCACACATCTCACACACACACACACATCTCACACACACACACATCTCACACACACACATCTCACACACACACACACATCTCACACACACACACATCTCACACACACACACACACACACACACACACACACACACACATCTCACACACACACACACACACATCTCACACACACACACATCTCACACACACACACACACACACACACACACACACACACACACACACACACACACACACACACACACATCTCACACACACACACACACATCACACACACACACATCTCACACACACACATCTCACACACACACACACACACACACACACACACACACACACACACACACACACACACACACACACACACACACATCTCACACACACACACACACACACATCCACACACACACACACACACACACACTCACACACACACATCTCACACACACACATCACACAACACACACACACACACACATCTCACACACACACACACACACACACACACACACACACACACACACACTCACACACACACACACACACACACTCACACACACACACACACACACACACACACACACACACACACACACACACACACACACACACACACATCTCACACACACACACACATCTCACACACACACACACATCTCACACACACACACACACATCACACACACACACACACATCTCACACACACACACACACACACACACATCTCACACACACACACACACACACACACACACACACACACACACACACACACACACACATCTCACACACACACACACACACATCTCACACACACACACATCTCACACACACACACACATCTCACACACACACACACACATCTCACACACACACACACACACACACACACACACACACACACACACACACACACACACACACACACACACACACACACACACACACACACACACACACACACACACACACACACACACACACATCTCACACACACACACACACACACACACA